GTATTTTTATATGCTAATCCAAGTACTAAATGATTTCCATGTTAAGATTAAAAATACTTTTCTTCATCTCAAAAATCTCAAATTGTATATGGATAATCTCTAAAACCTAAATAAAATTCAAACTTTTTTTCATTAAAACTATATATTTTACCTACCCTAAATTTATACAAGGTTGATCAATTTGACTGACCTCATAACCACCAAAAAAAATCTAAATTACCCTTTTTTCTTTATAGAATGACTTCATATTGTAATATGAAACTATATTTGTTTATCTAAATTGCTTTAAATGCATAACAGTATTCATCTTTTTATACTTGAAATTCAGTTTTATTGTCCTTAGAACCCTGTCTAACTACTATTTGCTCCATTATAAGTTGTAAATCACTCAGTGAATGTTCAGCTCATGTTATGCTATTGAATTACATTATGCACAAGCTGTTACACCAAATCAAATCTTAACTAACATAAAAGGTCACCTGTTTTTACATTCTAGTTACTTTATTAATAATAATTGAAAAATACACATTAAAAACAATAAAGTACTTACCTCTGTCCTCTTTTTTTGTGGTTGATGACACTTAAGCCTACTTTTTATATACTACAGATAGTACTGCATTAAATAATTTTATATTTAATCAAATAATGCACCAAATAACACAGAATAATAATGTGCAAAAAGCAGATAATGACCCATAACTATCACACTTTTTCTGCCTTTCTAACTATGTGACAAGAGCCATTAAAACTTCATCTGAGCTCATCAATGTGTTTACTGTGGGAATCAAGCTTGAATTGGAAGCGAAATTGACAATTATCTTTACAGAAAACAATGAAATATAATACATCATTTAATACCTTATTTACCTTGGCTTTCTATTGGTTACAAATACTATAATATTGAATGACAGAGAGAACTATTGGCAATTTCTGAAAGAGAGGATGTGAAAAGTGGGGGCATGGCAAGAGGAGTCTGGTTGTCTATTTCATAGCCCTGTAAGCAAATAAGATTGACGGCTATGAAAATTATGCTGTGCCTGAGCAATGATAATATTATAACAAGTAATTTACATTAAATTTCATACTTCTTGAAGGGGTGGTAAATAAATCAAAGAAAAGGGGATGCCCAGAGAGCAAATGTCACACTAGGGGAAATTCTAGTTTTTTTCTAGTATTGCTTATTGAAAATAAGAACTTAAAACTTATATACTATTATAATATGGATTATTAGCTATGTTTCTATGCTATATTTATTGGTATTCCCTGAAAAGAAAGTAGTTTAATTAAATTTTGAATGTAACTCACTAAAACTTCCTGACATGTACAGAAAAAGATGTCTGTGGAGAGAGGGTTTAGTTATTTGGGAAGAAAATTAATTAAAACATTATAACTGTGATAAAAGCGTAGTGAGTGTAGGCAGACTGAGGGATGATACTTTCTTAGAAAATATAAATCCTAAATATAAAAATTCTGCAAAAAAATAAATAAAAAAATGCATTGTTTACAGATGAAACTCTTTGAGCTGTGCTAAATGCTGGAACACTTTTTCTTTTTCGTTTATGACATATGCTAAATAAAATTTACAAAATAGTTAGAATTATTGTTTTTGTTCAAATTTTGAAACTTAGTATGCACTCAACAGAATTGCAATGTATTACAATTTGAATGTGTATTTTGCAAAAGTTAAAATTTTGCTACACAAAATACTCAGAATACACAGATTCTCACATAATAGGTTTTTCGTTCAGTGCTGCCCTCTATATGCATAACTTTTTTCACTCATCACTTGCCTTGAAACTCCCACCTATGCCATGTTCAACTTGGTTCTGTTGCATCTTCACATGCAAATAAGCATGCAGCAACCCTTCACCAATAGGAGTGCAACACATTCTCCTGATATAACTGGCTCCCTCTGCACAGGTTAACCTATTCTTCACCTCGGGATTAGGCACAAAAGAAGTACCAGAAGTGGGGAGGAAGGTTGAGAGGAGATATGTATTTATTAGAAAAATATTTTCTGTGTAAGAAAATTATAGTTTCTGATACAATAACTTACCTGCTCTTACATTATAGCTAGAACTCCTAATTGATCTAGTGGAAGGACCAGTGAAAAATTACCTGGATAAGCCTCCTTTAGAATTTGTCTAAATATAACCCATGGAGTGTGATATCTCTGAGAAGAGGAAAAACCCTCTTGAGAGACTGCACCACATCTGAACCAAGTATACTCTTTGCTCTTGAAGTATGAAAAAGTCACTAAATGGCAGCATCAAAGTACAAATGATAAGGAGCCATACGTGCCCCAGGTTTCACGTGGACAGGGCATGTCAGACCATAGTCGGGACATCAAATCCAGCCTAAAACTTTCAGCTAGGAAAAGAATATCCTGTCCCTGGTAGGAGGAGGGTCCTTACCATCTATATTCAAATCGTAAATGAGATGTCAACTCCCATCCAAAACCAGAGGATCTGGGAATGGTTCATGCAGTCCCTGGATGAAGGAGGTCCTCAACCAACTGAAACCAAATATGTCCATAATGTAGAACAGCTAAGATACATCAGACCATAATCAGGAGATCAACTCCATCCACAACCAGTGGAACCAGGACAGGATCAACCGGCCCACAGTAGGAAGGAGGTCCTCTACCATTCACCTCAAACTTTGGAACCAAAAGGGAAAGAGCACATTCATTCCAAGAACCCAAGCCATCATGTGTACATATCCAACACGACCAGCACCTGTTCCTTCAGGAACCAACATCCAGACAACAGTAGGAAGGTGAACTGCAATGTGGAGGTTCAACCTAATTCAAAACCATACATGTTGAGTGTTGTTGAGTAGTCACCACCCTTGAATGCCATAACATGGTAAGATCTCTCAAATTAACCTGAGTAAAAAGATGCCAGGTAACAATGCATCTTTACCCTGGATTCCAATAATAGAGTAGCCAAGTTGGAAGAGAAAAACAAAGGAGAATAAGCATGCCAAAGTGGAAAAATATAAGGGATCCAGTGTCCTCCCATATTCTGTTGGGGAGCTGTGGATAACTGCAGACAGGAGATGACTGGTGGAAAGGTAACTGAGGAGTCGGGGCCAGTTGACATAGGAATTGGTCAGCATGGAACCAAATCTGAAGAAGGAACAAAACTAGGTATTCAGCAGAAGGGTCAAATATAGGAGGGAAGGGGAGGAATAATATGAAACAGGGAATACAAATAAAAAAAGGAACATACTTTTGATACCATATCCAGGAAGGCTGAGGATGACCAGGAAGCATAGGCAGAAACTTGAGATTGCATGGCCAAGGAAGGAGGTGGAAAAAAAATTATCCGAATCATCTTAATCTCGCACAGATTCAGCAAACAAAGAAATTTCAGATCTAGGCTTGGAATAAAACAGCCAGCCACATGATAGACTCCAACTCCTGCTGAAACACTATGACCATCTCAGCAGAAAATGTAGGGCCTGTAACCTAAGACACAGCAGGTTAAAATGCTGTAATATTTGTCACTACAAATGTAGTGGTAGTGATATAGAAATCAGAATTCATGTTCAACTGAAGTTAGAAAGTAATAAACTACAGTTAGTATATAACTGTAGAAATAAAGCAAAAAACAACAATGTAATTTAATAAACAGCACAAAAAATATTAAATTAAAATAAAAGCAATAGCAAAAATGTTAACACATCTTAACACTACTGTGCCAAACCAAGAAGCAAAAATTGGGTTAACCTGTGTGAAGGAAGCCAGCTGCATCAGGAGAGCATGTCATGCTTATTTGAATATGAAGATGCAGCAAAACCACATTGAACAATGGGGTAGGTGGGAGCTTCAAGGCTAGTGGCAAGTGAAAAAATCTGTGCATATAGAAGGCAGCACTGAATAAGAAGGCTATTATGTGAGTAGAGGTAAGGTATTGTATCGGAAATAAGTAGCCAGTACACGTAAATTGTGGTTAAGTTTTATCATAAGGTGTAATGTTACAGCCTATATATTTTCGTATACACAAAAAGCAACAAACAGTCTGACCAAATTCAAATTATGTCCTATAAAAATGGTGACCTGGCAAGACATTTGTCCTATGAAAAAAAATGTTTATCTGCAGGATAACAAATAACCTAAAATACTTCTGGGTTAAATTTTTTAAAAAGGCTGTAGAGAAACTGAAAATTAAATAGATCAAATAAATAGAACAACAGAAAAGTTTTTACTGTGCAAAATAATTTCCAACTTGTTTCTTTTTAATTACAAAGCTCCACAAAGGATTATCTGTTCTGTCTCAACATGTATATAGAAACCCAGGTATTAGCATTATAAACCTTCATATAATCTTCAAGCTGTTGGAATAAGCTAATAATGCTAATATGGAATAATGTCAATATGACATTCAAGGCAAAAATACATTCAAGTGGTTTGCTGGTTATTGTGAAGTGGGACAAAGTTCAGAAAGCTGATCAAAAATTATTTTCATGTAGCACCACCTGATACATTTTTCAAACTAATTAGACAATAGAAATAAGTATTTTCAAAATACAAAATAGTGGGCAGTATAAATTTTTTTTTGAAATATGCGAGAAATAATTCCAATTTTCTAATAAATTCAATTAAAACTTCTAACTTCAACATTTAAATTTAACCCAAAATATGTATTCATTTATTGGAACCTTTTAGTTACAAATATTTCTCTCATCATTAATAAAAAAATTAATTTTAAAATAACAAATAATTAAAGCATCTCAGAAAATTTTTAATGCCTCAAAAATGTTAAGCATCAGTTAATTCTATAATTATTGTTGTTTGTCTTCACAAAGGCTGATGTAGTTTCACTAAGCAATTCATTAAATACTTTAAAAAAAACTCATTTTATGCTTTTTTCACCTTCAGATAAACTTTAAAATGCCTTTTGATTTTGTCAAATCACTAATGAAAGCTGAAAACTGCCTTAGGTTGATGTTTGTTAAAAAAATAATGCAAAAGCATTTTTCTGCAGCAAACTTACAATATTTGTTAGAAAGGATGATGATGAACCCTCTTCCAGGGTTAAAGTAATAAGCCCATTCAGGTGTGTTCTTAAAACTGCTGACAAGCTGTAAAAAAATAAGGATATGTATAGTACATTTTGTATTTGTAAAATTATGTGTTTATCATTATTATCAAGAGATTTCTCAACACACATAAGCTAATATTCTAAATAAAACTTTATAAGAAATAAGGAAATAAAATATATATAAAAAAAGAATTGGTGACAATAATAAACCTGGTCCATCAAATTTAATGTTTATTAGTTAAGACAGTAGAATTGAAAAGATTAATAATGATCATATTATTATACACAAAGTGAACGACTTGTATACCTAACTTATATAAAAGCCAGTGTGTGTCACGTCATGCTTGATTCCTCAAAATAGGAAGAGTCATAAAATCCAAAATGCATTTATCCAGATAGAATATTTTGATTACTGCCTGCCAATTACAGTTTCAGTGACAAGGGTGCAAAGGGGCTATGAAACCTTATAAGTGTAGTGAGTGTTGGTATAATAAGCCTAAAGTAAAGACAGTGTGTGATCACCTAGACTACAGCCAAGTGCATAAAATTTATCATGAAAGTAAAAATACTGATTCAATTTTAAACTTAAATCATTTCTGAATTAATCTCTTTTCTGTTATATCACAAATGTTTTTAATAAAAACATACCTCTTTAATCAACAGAAACTCTAAATAAGAAATCAACAAATATTTTTCCAGTTTTGCTGTCTATACATTTCATTTTATACTTTCATTACATAGACTAAAAACAATATTAAGTTATACTTTTGTTGCTAATTAACATGACATAAAAGCCATTGTTGGAATGTAGTGTTACCAAAACACACTGGCTTTTCTATAAATTAGAAGTTGTTAATCTACCTGATTTTTACCAATAATTATTCTATAAATATGCCACAAATTCATTTCACGAATGATCTTAATTTTGATTGGCTCACAAAGGAATTTACTGATATTTGACATGGCCTTGATTACACTTTTCTGCTTCTTTGTTGGTGAAGCTTGATTTCACAAATCTTATTTATTTCAGCTATGAAATCTGAGGTTAGGGTATACTATGGGGTGATGGTGGTAGTACTTGCCCTGTCATTTTTGATGGGCTATACCCTAATGTGACACACACTGGCTTTTAAACAAGTTAGATATATATACACACACACACTTCAGAATGATTAGACTGAAATAAATTATTACTTCGGTATACTTTTGTGAATGTTTTCACCTGTAATATCAATACTTTACCCCTCAAGATTCAGTGAAAATGTGGAAGACTTAGGTTAGAAATCATACACTAAGACAACAATGGAAAGTAATCTTTAGAAATGTAAACAACAATATGCTAAATGTAACAAAACCAACATTATACCTACCTCACAAATGATCATAACAAATTTAAACAACTAATTACAATCACCTCTAGCACTTTTTCACTTTATTAAGACTTTATCTCAAAAGCTCATATTTCTTCAAAGTGATATTATTCTCACAACCTTTTTCTGCACTCTTTACAGCATAGCAATATGAAATAATTCGATGACGAGGAACCCACTTTGAGACTAATAATGGCTGGAGACGGCTTAAATGGGTAATGAAGAAAAACTTTAATATAAGTTTAACATGACAGCAAATGTACA